TTTAGTTCTCAGAACTGACTAAAAATAGTGATTTTAATTTATTCCTGCTGCCTACAATTACCCACAACCATGTATTTTTAAATATTTCCAGCCTATAAAAATTACTAATTTTTGCCACTTGTGTTTATCTGCATTTAGGCTTTGATTTGGATAAATTAAGCTCTCAAGTGTTCCTTGCTTTATGAAACTCTGCATGTTGTACACTTCAACACAAATAAATGACTTCTACCATTAGAGGTTTAAATAATGTAATGTATTTCATGCTCAGCCTGAAGCTGGATTCCAATGAAGTTGCTAATGCACGTAATGATTAAGTGTAACTCAAATACTAACTGTGTTGTTGAAAACATGACAGGCAATAATTTGGTCTATTATATTCTGCCATTTAATTCCCTAGTACAGACATTCTCTGACACGTTATGAAGCAATGATTTACAATTATTCAAGCTGCAAAGGTCAGAAAGTGACATTATAATCATCTACACAGAGATCCCTTTTAATGCACAAAAACTAGGTAATACTACACAAAAATAGTTTTACTAGAGTAGTAACTTTCTACTTAAGATTTCCTAAACTGCACTAGTATAAATAATTAATTTACATTACAGTACATTAAGACATCCTTGAAAATACAATGTTTTTTCTTCTCCTACCAATACATTTACGAATAAGTCTTTTTTGCATGCTAAAAGCAATCTTAAGAGCAGGCTTAAACTAAAAGTAGCCTGACATTAACAGTAATCAGTTAAAAAAAAACTGAGAATCTAAAAGATTTTTTAGAACACCACACGCAGGAGTACAGCCAATTTTTTTGATGCAGCTGGTCAAAGCACATTCTTATCCATAAAGTATGAAGATCTGTTAGCCACTATACTTGATGTAGGTGATTATTTTTCTTTAGACATTTTCAAAGCAACCAGTGTCATTAAAATACTGAACTGTACACAGATTAAGATCTCTGAACTATTCTTAGCATTAACAACAGCAGCAAAAGTGAAGTTATTTTCATGCCTGGGACACTGTAACACTCCTGAAAGCTTGTTTATATGAAGCTTTAAAAGGTAAATAAATTTAGCAAAACACTTATTTAGCAGAACATCTTATATCCAGAATTAACAGGAAAAAGAAGTTTCAAAGCTAATCGAGAACTGAGGAGCAGAAAGTAAACAAGATCAATAGGTCCATCCAGCAAAAGACCAAAACAAAAACAAAAACCAAAAAATTCCCAAACAAACAAACAAACCTACAAGAAACAACTACTTCAGCAAAATACAGAAAATGACCAACGTTTTCCACCCCCCTCCAAATTCCTTGGTGTATACGAATACTTTCCTTCCTTAAAACACTTGGCTGCTGTACATGGAATAAACATAATGAAGATATTGCTACAATTTCCTTTCAATTTTTAGGCAGGTAGCAAAAAATTTTTATGTGCATGTATTAAATACTGACAGTTTTCCTAAAAATCCAAACCTACCTTACACCCATCTTCCTCAGCAGATTTTTAAGAAGTCATAAAAGAGAGAAGAAAAAAAAAAAACAAACGAAGCAGCCACTCTTACTTGGAACATGTAACTACATCCCCAAAAACTCTGTTTCTGAAAGCAAAGGGAAGAAAAATGCAAAGGAATAGTAGATGCATTTTTAAATCAAACATTGCCTATAAATTCTGTTCAAAATCTCAAGTGCAGAACAATGCATTTTTCATGTTCTACCTCAGGCATAAAATTCAAAAAGTGCATGATAAGCATTTCACCAGGCAAATGAAACAAGATTTTTAAATGCTGGACAACCAAGATTTGCTCATCTAACCCAGGGTATCAGCCAATTTCAGAGGCAGACTTCCAAAAATTATATTCAAATACGCAGCAGTTTGCTACCCACAGAAAATAGATACTACCTCTGAAATAATGGGATATATTTTACAGCCATGGGTAAGAAAACAATTAACACACATCTGCGATAAGGAAATGAGTAGCAGACGGTTTATTCCAAATGTTAAAACATTAGCGGTGTCCAATTTCTGTGTCATGTAGTTTCTGCTGTGCAGCTGAAGAAAAACAAACCCTGAACTTCAATTAAAAAAAAAATAAAACAACACAGCAAAATTACTGCCTTTTTCAACAGCTAAGTGAATTATATACTGCGTACTTTGTATCATGTAAATATGAGGACCATTTGGAAAACTGAGACACAGCAAACTCCTCCTAAAACAACACAAAAGATGCAGCCTTCTGCTTTTTTTTTTAAAGACAAAAAAAATCCAGAGAATTTTTGTTTTCTTTAAAAAAAAAAAAAAAGAAAAACAAAGGAGCAGTATTTTGAGACCACACTACACCACCATGTTGCTCTGACATTTCACCTTTACAAAGTGCCCGAGCACATTCAAAAGCTTTTGGAACAAAATTTATCGTCATAACTAGAAGAGGGCTTATTACTATGAATCTAAAAGTCAGAGGATAGAATATTAACTACTGTAGAAAAGAAAACATAGTGCAGGACCTTCTGTTTGTGACAAAATTACAGAGTTAATGTTCCTGAAAGATCACTTCACCTTTTAAAGCATGATTTTTAAAAAGGTAAAATTTATAGCAATTAAACCTAATGAAGAAATGCAGCATGAGCTGCTTATGTTCAGGAACTAATAGGTCCACTGAGCATTTCTAAGATTATTTAGCCATCAATGATAATGAATTGACATTGTCAGTGGTGTTAATGTACCAATGCTCTATAGTGCCACTAATCCGATAGCCAATCCTAGCAATTTATTTTTTTTTTTACGTTGCTACTTTATTTTTTTAACCTACACAGTACCCAATCCTTTCAATTAAAATAGCAGAAATACAGCACATGCTATTACGTTTTTTTTCCTCTTCTTGCACATTTAAGGATCGCATGTGCATTATTTGGACTATGGTTCAAGTTGCTCTGGTCATTTCTCCTTCTTCAAATCCTGCTTAATTCTTCAGGACTGCTAGCTGCAGTATAAAAATGTATTTTTCAATTAAATCCGTGTTAATATATAATTAATCCATGTTAATATTAATTCTTAAAATTCTTGGTGCCCATTAAGTGAAATGTCATGATTATTTAAACAGGTATATAAATCAGATTTTTGTGAGCAGAGGGTGTTGTGGCATATGTCTCTTCAGCTGATTGTTTTGTCATATCTAAATAACACAGCTTCATGTGGTTCATGAAAATTAGCAATATAATGCTACACAAAAATGGAAAGTTAGTACCTGCTTGGCTACCAGGTGTGACATGTCAGCAACGTACAGTAAGCAAAGTGATTGAGATTCAAGTCCACATTTCAAACCATTCATATATGTTTTGCACTCTCTCTTGCACAGCCATCATGAATTGCAACTGAGAGTTGTGTAATTTCAGAGACAGATTCTAAGAACATGTCAATCCTGAAGGAATGAGCTTTAGAAAAAAATGGGGTACTGTGCCAAATCCTAATCATTTTAATTCTCTTCTTAGGAAAGATACAGTATTATCTATTTTGAGGTTTTTGTTTTTTACTTCTCCTCTCAGTCAAATAATATGATGATTTTTCACTTTAAGTTAAAAGGGAATTGAATAAAGAACCATTGTCAAGTTTGTTGACAACTTCTAAAGAACAGAGATTAGCCTTAGCTAAACAGTTTTGTGAATCTGCAGTTGTTAACTATCTTCCATGCCAGATTCTTAACAATTCATATAGCAGAGATAGTAAACAAGATTTGTCAAACAATATAAAATAGACTACCACACATAATGTTTAATGTTCTGCAAAATAAAATGCAGCACAAGGTATTGTACTATGGATATTCAGTGGTCTTAAGAATTGGGCTCATACATTTTTATTTCTTGTTTCAAGAAGTCAGCAATTAACTTTCTTGAGTAAAAACATCCAAAGTATCTCATAATGCTGCATGTAAAATTATTTGAAAAACAGAGAGATGAATCAGTGAAAATCACTCAGCTGCATCTCCAGCTGAAGATTCACTTGTCCCTTAAAATATGCAACTCACTTTGTCCTGCAGTAGATCAGTATACTAGGGCTACATTATACCCAGCATCACACTATGCCATTCATGTGTGCACTGCCTCATCTAATTGAACCTGTGCTATTCTACACATTAGCTATAAGACTGTTATAGCACATTACATAGGTTTGAGTAAAATGTTTTTATATGATGCATACATTAGCTAATTTCGCCAGCATAACAACATTAAAATATATTTTTAATCAGGACTAGGGTATTAAAATCCAACTTTGAATGTCCTATGATGTACCATATATGCCATGGCATTTTAAAACCTTTTAAACATTTCTGCTAAATTAATTAGTTTTGCATTAAGGAGTCTCAATGCCTCCTATTAAATGCAACACATTTGAAGGACAATTAAACATTATGAACGATCCTTCTGAGAAAATAACGGTTAAGTAAAAAAGAAAAACAAGATTTTTTGGGTGACAAACAAGAACATAAGCATACATAAAAGAGTTCAATTTATTTTTAAAGTCTTATGCCTGCAGTACTTTAGATCTGTTTGTTTGAAAAAAATCAGTCTTCTGTTTTGTTTTCGCAAAGAACGAAAACCCTAATGGAGTCCAGAAATCTGTTAATGGTACTAAAATTATAACAGTATAGCAAAAGAAAAAAACCCCACACAGTAAAGTCTATATTATATATTTTTTATGTCTTTAAATGGAATTTACAGTTCTCCCTGGCAATGTGAATGAACATCCTATAATTTAGTCAATTTACAGATTACAGGTTCAAATTGACCTTGTAGCCCATAAAATTGCTCATCTTCAGTGCAGGATTAGAAGTGGGAAAAGAATGTCATAACTGTATTTAAGGAATTTACCATAACAATGGAAAGGAGGATATGCATGCATAATTTTAGCCACTCTTGCTCACATCACAGTTTTCAATTCTGAAACAATGCATATCCTGCACTCTTCTCCTGGTTAACCATGGTGGAGACTGTCTCAATTTACTCACCCACAGACATGACACTTGTATTCCCTCATCCCAAGGTGCCTCTTGACATGGTTTCTGGCATCTCCGAGCTGAGCTGTTGCAAAGTGGCATATCTTGCACTTGAATGGCTTTGATCCTAAGTAAAATTTAGCATAAGATACGAGTTGAATTAGAATAATATATCACCCATGGTTAAAGAAATAAAAAATCCTGGGAAAAAAATAACCTTTAAAAAAGCCTATCCCACATTTAACCTGCTTGAGATTTTTGCCTAACAAAAAAACACATCTTGCGCATAAATTTATGACTCCCTGGGCACAGATGGTACATACTATACATTACTCATTAAAGTTTCCTTAAGTTCGAGATCACTACTCTCTTAACTCTGAGGAATAATTTACTCTGTTAAAATTATTATTTTAAAAACTCACAAAATACTAAAATGAGCAGACAATAAAGTAGGTAGATAACCTTTCAACAAAATGGCAAAAGTTGTTCTACACCTTTCCCCATTTCCAAATGATGAAACTCAGGTGACAGTCTTAACGTGGATCGATATTGGTGTAAACTGCAAAATGGCCTCAGTTTTTAAGCAAATGCATTTAAAGTAATTTTACAAGTCTTCCGACTTTGAATAGATTTCACATTAGCATTGGTATTTCAGATTTGTTCTGTCACACAGAGAAAATGATTCATCACCTAGCTATTGTAATGACATGCAATGTATGAATATACACTGGATAAAATATTATGCCTTTATGACTGTTTTATGGTCAAGAATTTATGATTATTCTGCAAACCAGAAGTATTGACATTTTGGCTATTATTTATTTCAAGAACAAACTTTAATATTAAATGCCTACTGCAGACCAAAGAACTCTGAAATTATTTCTCCAAGGAAGAAATACCAGCCTATCTCTTGTATCACATCAGTTCAGCAAAAAGTCAAATCATTTGTCTATCTTAATTAACAGTGATCCTCTCTTGAGGATGGAAAAACTATTCTTTTACTGAAATAGTTAAACTAGGCACATGTCGGTCCCCATGTTATTATGCAGCAACACCATTTTAAAGCATGCTGTAGCACTTTTCAATTTTCTGACCAGTAAATCCATAAATCAATAAATCAAAATCATGGAATTGCAGTTAAAAGTAAGTACAATATGGTCACAGGGTCTCATATTATGTTTAGTATATGTTTTGTGAAGTACTTCTTCCAATACAGTTAAGCATAGTATGAAATATGTGATCTTTAATAAATATACATAAAGAGCTCTGATAAGAAAAATATTGCGCTATATCATACTTGATCAATGAACCTTTTTGCTTTGCCCTTGAAAACAGAATATCCTGCAAGAAACCGGGCTGAAATTGAGGATCTTAGTAAAAATTTTTAGAGTCTTAAATTTCAATTTAATTCCCAAAAGCTGACGAAAAATGAAGCATTTAATTTTAATCTCCTAACTGAAATAAAAAAGTCAACAGTACTAAGCACAGGCAGACAAGGTTGAATATTTCACAGTTCAATGACAATGAAGCCAGATCTCTTAATACTTCCATTTCTACTGTTGGAAGTAGATGTAAAATATATTTAGCACCTGAATGGTTATATCTAGTCAGCTTTATAAGTTTAAATGTCAAAAGCAGGTTTAGACTGCAGCTAACAGCAATCACATTCTATCAATCACAGTGAAAAAATGCAGTTTATTTAAATGATCCTGATAAAACTAAATTAATCATTAATTTGGTGACATTTCAAATCAACACTGCATTCTGTAAGGAGAACCATGCAAATAATAATTTTAAAAAAGCCTACCTTTGCATTAATAGAGTATTAAAAGTTGATGGTTTAACTTACGATCTTAAAGACTAATTGCACAATTAATAACATCAAGGCCACGGTTGGGGAGGATTTTTAAAGCCATTGTTGTTTATACTGCTCTTTTTTTGTCATAGAATTCAAATACCATGTGGATTCAATCCTATGTTCCCTTAGTTTCTCTCCTACTGATTAAATTGTAAATTTGTTCCTCATTCTGTTACTGCAGGTGTCCCACAGGGCTTCCATACAAGACCTTTGCTGTTTTCCATTTACATGACTCCTTTGTGAAGAACTCAAGTTCAGACCAATTGTAGCTACAGTGTGCTGACAATACAGAAACGTATTATTCTGTTGACTGCTCTCATCCAAAAATCAGTGAGGCCTTGAGGGTTTTTTTATTTATTTCTCAGATCCAGAGCTGAGTATCTGTTAACATCTCCATTTAAACTCCATGAAAATTCAAGTGCTGGCAGGCTCCACTCGGGATTTATCACCTGAAACAAAAGCAGTGCACCTCCCTTTTAGATTGCTGGTGCCAAATTTGTTCCAGGATGTTCTTTGCTGGAAAAACCCAAAATTTTATACTTGAGATGAAGACGTTAGACTAAGAGTTGAACTAATGGGGCAAAAAAAGAAAAAAAAAAATCTGTGTTTGCTATAAGGCTAATTTCAGACTGAAACAATGTTGAAGCAATTAACCATTTGTTAGCCACACTTCTCACAAACTTTAATGGTTCTCATGCTGTGTTAAATGTGACACTATTGGATTCACACTTGGCTTTGCTTTTAATTCATAGAAACATGAGAAAAATACTTTCAATATAGCATCTTTCCAACAAATGAGTTAATAAATAAATAAATAAGAAAAAGAAAAAAGCCACAGAATTACTTTACCTACAAGTTATGGCATGGAAACAAAGTGACATTTTCTGATGGCAGCAAACAATAAAGTTCTTAACAAAAGAACTGGAGAACTGGGGGGGGGGGGGGGAGGAACACAAACCCCCAGTAACAACGAAAAAACACAAACTTGAAAATAGATTAAGAGTTCAGGTCAGACAGACACAGACCATATGACTGCTTTACAAAGACTGAAGTTCACAGTCCTTCTTTTACATTAAGACAATAGAGACCCAAAAACTACAAGAAACATTCACAACCTCAGCTCTAAACTAGCCAAAGGCAACATCACCTGCACCTGCAGGTATAGCTGTATCCCTAGATCAGGCCCAATGCAAATGAAGCAGAGCCACATGAAACCTCATCATACCATTTCTCCATGTGTATAGGACACAGGGAGTAGATACCACACTTCCATTGAGCAAACCTTACATTAACTGCGAAATCTGATGAGAAACAAAACAAAGATGATATGGCTGCAGGTGATTTTTCCTCAGATGTTGACTGTTAATTAAGTTTATGGGACCTCCATCAATTGCGAACTAAAAAGTCTTCCACCTCTACTACTCTTTTTATTTTCCTTTACACTTCCTCATTTTCACTTGTCAACATGTGATGGACTTACTTGTTATGTCCTCTCTAGCAAAGCTTCCCTTTCATTTGCAATGTGAAAATCTCCTACATTATTTAACAGTATTTTGAGACATTATTTTTCTATTAATGGAAATCATTAGTTGTATCTTTCCATAACTTTCCTTTCCCTTCCCCCCATGCCCAAACTGTCACCAATTACTCAATAAAAAAGGCAAGGATTTGGATACGGTTACACATCCATACATATAAATACATATGCACATCCAGATGCTGAAGAAAGCTTTTTTTTAAAAAGCACATAATCAGAACAATAATGGGGAGAATGCGCAGCTCTGCTCCTATTACGTATCTGCTGTTATCATGGAACAGGTGAGAAGGTAGAAATGCTGTTTTCTGCCTCACCAATGTTGCAAGCCAGTGTATATACAGTTGGTGGAGTAGGTCAGTTCCCCCTGCCACCGCTTCCAATAACCCGAAAAGATTTGTTTCTTATTCAACTGCATCCATTGTGATACAGATTGGAAGAAAAGGTTCTGTAAGTCACAAAGGAAATCACAAATATGAAAACACAGATTGGAAGAGAAAGCCTTCCTCCCATTAACTATTAGTAAAAGTCTCCACATTACTATTTATGTGAATAAGCAAAGCATAAGAAAAGCACTTCATTTAAAGGTACTGTGAGAAAGAGGGCAGATAAAACTCTATTCTGTAACCCTTCTATACCTCCCCTGCACAAACCACTGAAAAATGACTTGGAAAATGAAATGTATTCTTTTACTGCTTTGCGTATTTAGGGCCATCCAAAAGCACAATAAAAATATACTTCATGATAAGACCTACACACAAGATGTTAAAAAGTACACTAACTTTTACTAAATGTTACAATCAATGATGTAACTTATGTAAGTAGGGTTGCTTTGTCATATATTGATAGTTACCTCACTTTCACATCCACATTAACTTGATTTTAAATGCAATTAATACATATAGTCAAGGAAGACTAATGGACTACATTCTGCACTTAACCTGGTGGACATTTTCAAATGGCACAAGTGACCAGTGCAAACCTATTTTGCATTGTAAACGACTAAATAAATCTTAATGGATTAAGAATGATCAGCTATCAACACACAAGGGAAATTAAGTACTGAAATGCCTACATTGATTATTTTAAATTATTAGCCTTACTCTGTTCTTGAATTTGTATGCTTTTAGTGAGCTTTAACACATTTACAAGACTTATTGACTATAATTACAAGAGAATTCAAGTAATGGACACATCAATTATAAGCAACATGTCTTGACCAGACAGTTGCATAAAGAATTCTAAAGAGAGCTCCATTAGTATCCTCCCCCTTAGTTTTATTCAGTTTTATCTGCCGTAAGAGGGCATATTAAGGGCTTATACAGCTGTTCTGACCATGTGAACATGAGCATCCCTCTAAAGACTTAACACTGCATTCAAAGTTGGGATGTTAGCTGAAGCAATACAGATAACTACATTATTGACAGGACAGAAGTACTGCTGGAAGTATTAAGTATGTGAGTTACTGGTATACATGAATACTCAAGTTATAGCAAAATACTTTGAAAGGTTTGAAATACAATGTCTGTGTTCCCCGAGATTAATTTTAAACTTTGTTGTCCAGTCACGCCCTTGCCTTTTCATAAAAAAAACCCTCACAAAACTATTTTAGGATTATGCCAGGAATCACCATTCTTTTATGTTTCCTTTTTCTTACCTTTTTGTTCTCTTCCTTGTAACCATGCACTAAGTTTCAAATACTGCATGAATTTAAACTATAGCTTCCATAATAAGCCATTATTTAAAAGTACAGTAAAATAAACCTTACAGTTTTAATGAAAATATGTTCATTGAAATGTGAATTTATTATTCAAATCCACTCATAAATTCAACCACAGAGACACCACTTGTCTAAGCAGAGCTCAGTGATTTAGAAAAGCTGTCTATTTAAAATAAAGAATGTATGGCAGGTTTATAGAAACATCGCAGTGAATTTTTACATAAATTTAGAACTGCAGCTTATGCATTTTTCTACAAAAATGTTTTTAAATTTTCCACTTAAAATTAAACATAACAATGAACTGAAAGTGTGATCAGCACAGAAACTAAATCAGATGCTACATCCCTGTGCATCACATCAGCATTACACACTACCTTCCAAAAAGGCTGACCAATTCCAATACCCATAACTTATTTCTTAAAAAAAAAAAAAAAACAAAACAAAACCCTCTTGCTGCTTCTTACTGGTATTTATTTAGGAATGATGTAATATCAGCTGTCTATCCTGAAGCATTATGTAATGCCGAAAGTGTCACTGAATTGACATGAAATAAACAATTTGGATATTAAACAACTGCAAGGAAGAGGAAGTTAGAAAAAGCAGCTAATTATTCTCTCAAACCACCACTGCTTCATTATATACACTTAAGAACCAGTTAATGGTTACAATTTAGATTAAAGGAAAAAAAATCTCTCTATATGAAACAGAAAGCAGAAGGGTGACTGCACTTAACAATATTCCTATATTTTCTGACCTTTGATCACTGTTTTTCATACCCATTTTGGCCATTTTGAATTTCATTGGGGGATCATTAGGTGATATGCATGCTAGTTCATAAGAAATGTTAAAGAGATTAACAAACAGAAAAAAGACCAGTGGTAAAATTCACTCTGCTTGAAAGGGACCACTTGCAAAGAGAGCATTTCCATACCTGTATGGGTACGGATGTGAGCTAGGAAGGCCATGGAATTGCTACTTCTACACATCTTCCCACAATACTTGCAGATATTGCCTTGGTTCTCTTCCCTCTCCCTGTTTATTTGCTCAGTGTCTTCCACAATGTACTTATTCACTTCCCGCAACAGTTCTTCATGTTGCTCTTTGATGTGCAGAAACAAGCTCTGCTCCGAATCGAAGGGCTCCGTGCACTTCACGCACTTAAAGGTAGCGCCTCCTTCAGGCAGCTCCTCCACGCTTGCCTGCTCATTCCGCATGTGCCCAGCACTGGTCAAGTGCTGGTGAAGGTTGCTCTCTGTGTAAAATGATTTTCCACACAGTAAACAATGAAAATGTTTCTCTTTTGAAGGATGTTTCATGGCTATGTGAACATTTAGTCCGCTCAAACCATCTGCTAGAAAACCACAGTCATCACAGCGAATACGTGTCAATTCCCCAAGGGAAATTCCTTCTGACTTCTTTTTCCCACCACTTGGTGAAGGGTCTGCTTTCACTGTGAGCTCTCTAGCCTTCACTCCACTTGACATCTGTCCTTCAGCAGAATGGTCACTGACCTCCCCATCTTGATGGCTTTTTAACCTCACTATAGAAGAATCAAACTTGCCAAAATTTTGCAATGCCTTTCCTTTATCATCAGCACTGATAACCGTTCCTAAAGCCTCATTATTACTTTCTTGCATGCCCTCAGCTGTTGAGCCATCTGCCTCCCAAGCATTGTTATTTATAGTTACTTCTGCCTCATGTTGTGCTTCCATAAGGGCTTCTTCCTCCTCCCCAGTAGGATCCTCTTTGAAACTTCTGTCACCCTCTAAACTATGTATATTTTGTACCATTTCTCCACCGTTTCCAGCAAAATTTGATTGCTCTACTGCACTACTTGTTTCTGGAAGAGTTAGCATAAGTGGGCTATTTTTTTTCAGAGGTATGTTTTTCAGAATGTCTGTGTTTCTACATTCTACTTCAGGATTTTCTTTATATGCTTCCAAGCTTTCCTCACCTTTTCCTGAATTCAAGTTTGTGCTGCTTGATCTATTTTGATTTTCTGCAGTGCAATCATCATCCGAGTTGAGGGGCTCCTGACCATGCCCACTTTGATGCAACTCACTAGTACCTGTTTCTTTAACTGATACTTCCTTGTCAAGTTTAACAACTTTACCTTTCTGAGGAGTTTGCTGGAAACCTTCACAAAAATGTTTTTCTCCTCCATTTTTAGACTTCTCTTCAAGTTCACCTTCTACTGTATCTTTGGAATCGCCTCCCTTAGGCATTCCTGAAGATTCATGTTCTTCTAAGATGGTACACTCAGTTAAGCTTTTACTCATATGATCACCTTCTGCTGCATCACTGGCACATTTTGTTTCACCTAAACCAGTTTTTGATTCTCCTGCACTGTGATGGTGCTCCTCTTGAGACAAAGCAGTGCCTTCTTTAGTGACATCTGCTGTGTTTGCTTCTTCTCCGGAAGAATAAACGTAAGATTCTCTTCTAATTTTATGTTTCTCTGTTGCTGCATGCCTGATCATCTCTCTACGAGTAACAGCATAGTAGTCACAAGCCATGCAGTAGTATTCAAACTGTTTCGTATGTTTTCGCTTCACATGCAGCTCTAAAGAAGAAGAAGAATGAGCAATGAAGCTGCAGTGGACACACTTATTGTCACCCGCACCCAATGCTCTTTTCTGGAGGCATGGGTCACCATCTTGTGTACCCCTCGCTGGTTCCAGAAACACGTGTTGGTTTATGTTTAATGGATTGCTAGTATGCTCCAAATCTGGCAGCCTGCTGGCATTTACAACTTTCAGCTCAGCATCTTCTTGCTCAACTTCCTGATTGTCTAAGACAGAATTTTCCAAATCTAATGACTGGTTACCATCCTCAACATGTTCATATAAGGCAGTAATCGGGCTGTTACCCTTCTTGCTCATGGATTCAAAATTACCTCCTTTAGGGCTAACGATTATGTCTGAGTTCTGTTTTCCAGGTCCCTCTATTTCAACACGACTTTTGTGTTTTTTGGTTGCACAATGGCGTTCCATGTCTCCTTTGGTTACAGTGTAATAATTGCAAACCTTACACAAATAGCTGTACTGATGACTATGTTTACGTCTGATGTGAACAGTCAAATTTGTAACACTGGAGGCCAAAAGACCACAATGGCTACATGTCCTAGAAACAGTGCCTTTGGGTTTCCCTCTTTTGGGTGCATTAGCTAAAACCAATTCATTTTCAGCAATCCTTTGATCAAGTGGAATGATTTCCTTATTTCTTGATATGTTTTCCACAGAAGAGGATGAAACATGTATAATTTCTTTATCTAACTCTGTATTCCCACTCCCAGAAACGGAAGGATCCACTACTGTTTTAATACCACCAATGCCAACACAAACCTTTTCAATACATTCTTCAAAACGTAGTCCAATGTTGTTTTTTCTGGCATTTTCAAGGTGCTTGCTTCTTTTGATATGCTTCTCCATTCCTTCCCTACTCAGTGAGTAGAGATTACATGCTTTGCAAAGGAAGTGATACTCCTGTGCATGTCGGAGTTTTATGTGCCTTGTAAGAACTGTGGAAGATCTTGTCTTATAAAAACACTTTCTGCATTGAAATTGCGTTTTATTCAGAACAGAATGCTTTACTTCATTTTTATGGTTTATGAAGGAAGGGTTTGGAGGTTTTGCTTTCATTGATACTTCCATTTCCTTTGCAAGATTTTGGCTATTGTTTGATAACGAGTCAGCATAAGCTGGCACTTGCAAGGTCTGATCACTGTTACCCAGAGGAGTGGCTTGCTGAAAGACTGAACCATCATGTTTCTCATTTTTTTGATGTTTTATCAGCTCTTCTTCCATTTGAAAAAAAAGAATGCAAGTTGGACAACTATGGGACATATTATGTGTTTCACTCATGTGGCTTTGAAGGCTGACCACATTCAAGCTGGTAAATGAACAGAGTTGACAATTAAAGCTACAACCACCTATCTGGTGTTTATTGTCCTGAGAGTGTTGTTTCATGTCTTCCCTGACTCCAGAGGAATAACTACACATCTGACAATGAAACTGGATCCTTTTCATATGAAGCTTTTCAACATGAACTTCCAAACTTTTCCTGTTCTGAAAAACATGACCACAATCAGTGCAAGTATGAAGAACACTATGATCAGCAGTAAGGTTAACATCACAATCTTTAGCATGTGTAGTGCTGGAAGAAGGGGTATTTGGCTTATCTTCAGTAAGATCTTGAATTTCTGAAGTATTATTACCTTTACCTCTGGCATCTGTTTCTGTTTGTGACATACAGCTTGAATCACCAGACTTAAATGTGCTGGAGATACGCTTCATGTGTAGTCTCCGAGTTTCCGACTTGCCTCTCTTACAATTTCCCAACAAGCTGTACCTTCTTTTAACCTGCCTCTTGAATTTAAAAGACCTACTCTGTCCAAATGAAGACCTTAACAAGACAATGTTTCTTCTGCATTCTGGTCTCTCAAATCTCCTTGTCAAGTTTAAACTGCTAACTGGCTTTTTGGTAGTTGGAGGCAATTCTGTTTTCTGCAAGATACTTTCTGAGGGTCCTGGTATTTCTATTTTTTCAGTACAGACTTCATAATTTCCTTCTACAGCAGAAGAAAGAAATGTTTCTTCTGTCACAGTATCTGCTTTTTCAGTGGGAACATCTGAAGATGGTATCATTTCAATCAGTTCAGTGCCATCATTTTGTTTAGACAAGCTTACTTTTGAGCCTTCCAGTGCACTGCAAAGACTTAATTCTTTTGCATCAGCAGCCTTTGCCCTTAATTTACTGGTCCCAGGTTTTACTCTGACATTCCTTTCTTTGGTTGCAGTAGATCGCTGTTTTTTGGAGTATTTTTTTGTCAACATTTGTACAAATCCTCCCCGTGCAGCAAGATTTTGGCGCCGAAGGTGAGTCTTGCCGAGGAAATGAGAATTTAGGAGATTTTCCTCAGCACTCTGAAAACCACAAAGTTCACAACAAAACATCTTGGATTTCTCATGATCTTGCTGGACATGCATATGTAATGTTGAACTACATTCAGCTTTGCAACTACAGTGAGGGTATGCTTGCTCTTTGGATAGTTTAGAGGAAATTTCTCGTTTATTGTTTTCCTTATCAGAGCAGGAAGGTAAACACTGATCACTCATTCTGCCTTTGAAATCTCCGTCTATGTTTCCAACTGCATAACCAATACTGACTTCTTCTGAAGAACACAACTTATCATGAACAGCAGCTGGCTCCTCTTGTGAATGTTTATTTTCCCTGTGAATTTTCAATATGGCACCATCAGCACATTTGAAATCACAGTGTAGGCACAGGAAACTTGAATTAAGTATTTCATCACCACGACAACTGGTGACTCCTTCCCTATTTACAGCTCCAGCTACAATACTACCCGCTTCTCCAGCTACAACTTTGTGCAATTTTCTTTCACTATCTTTCATGTCTTCTGAAGAACTCTGCTTTCTCTTTCTGGAGACATCTTTATGTTTGTCTGCTACAACAGCATCCAGGTTTGGTGATCCTGACAGTGCCCTTTTGTTTGTGCCATTCTCTTTTCTTTTCTTGTCAAGGTCCCTGAACACTTCATCTGATACAAGCTTTGTTTTCTGCTGAGACGAAGAGTCACATCCAGCATTTTCTCCTGATGTATTTCTCTGGGATTCTTCTGTCAACTGAGTTTGTAAACTCTCATCAACAGCATCTCTCTTATTTTCCTCCCCATCCATTCTTAACATTGATATTATAAGTTGTATATCATTTGGCTTAGTACCTGTAAAACAAGAGAGTTGTTATTAGTATTTCGTGCACAACCAAAAGGTAAAAGAGTAAAGTGAAAAAAAAAGCAATATAGCAAATGGAAGACACAAACAATGAAAGATACAAGGCTACATTTTCAGCATCGTGTCTAAACTTTCAACATCTAAAAATCAAACCAACTTCTAGGCACTTGTTTACAGAGCTCACTGTGGTGAGCACTTGTGAGTGAGCACCAACTTCAATAGTTTTTGTGTAATTATGTAATTTGCTACATGCTTAAATCTGGGCAGACAGGCCTAACCTTTGTTTCCAGAAGCATATTTAGGACATGAAACACTAACAGCTTTCAGGGAACTAGTCATGGTATGTTCAACACTTCCTGCAATAAAAGTCCAGTTTCTAAAATTTAAAAGCTCCAAGGAGGAAATGGCCATGACTGCAACAACAAGCAAAACAAAGCCAACATAAATTTTAAACGTTGTAAGTATGAAGCTTTCTTTCCTTCCCCTGCTTAGATTACCTGCTAAAGAGTGAAAACACAAATAAATACACATTCTAAAGGAATATACTGCAAGTTTAGTTCCCATCATTTCTAAAATATCCTCTTTAAAAATTCATTTCCTATTTGGGATTGGGAGATGAGGGGGTGGGAGGGAAGTCACGAAACAGCAGTGTAGAGAAGGGCAGCACCTTTGAGCACAAACTCTAACCATCCAAATCCAGTTACCCAAAGCTTTTGCTCAACTGCCCAGTGTGACCTTCCTGCTCCCAAAAAGATGTCAACACTAGAAAACTGATGCTACCACACAGATTATAAGAGGGATGGGGATCAAATCCTGACATTTATTACCTTTTCATTTTGATAGGAAGTGATGGAGAATTGGAAATGCATTTCATTTTAACAGATGATTAAATACTAAATGTTTATCTACATGCTTTACACTATGATTTAAAACTCAATTTGCTGCAGATCCAAGTATCCAGTTTTTTGTTCAGTTACCCACTGAATGAGGCCATGACCACAGCTGTAAGTACTTTCTGACAAGATTAAGTAATTGCAAGGTTGATACAGATAATACAGGGTACAAAAAAAACATTCAAGTACATGCTAAAAAAAAATTTGCTTATTTTTGAGGACAAAGTAATATTAAACTGTGAAAATATACTCAAATCAGTTGAACTAATTAACTATTGAAGCAAAAAAAAAGGCTTTTCTGCTTAATAATAATTTATGGAAGGCCTATAAGAAATTGAACGCACAGTTGTTGCATACATAGAACAGGTTTTCAACTGTAGGCCTCTCTAAAGTACTGACCCAACTTATAACAAGCTAGCTATCACAAGAGAATAACAACCTCTAGATCACAAAAGCCCTTTGGAGGACACAAATATTGCCTTTTTATAGATGTTTTTTTTGATTCTTATACACTATTATTTAAATTTGTTCACTAAATCATGACAGAAACTATCACAATTAGAAGTAAAACAATCAGATCTATATTCTCAGCTGGTTTAAGTCAGCATATTGTCAGTATATTCAAAAACACTAACAGCAATTAATAGCAGAGGACGATGAAGCCTTTGAAGTGCAAGCTTGCCCTGAAAAGGTTTATGAGTACTGTTTGGGATACAGAAAAAAAGATCAGATGAAAATTATGCTGTTTAACTGCAGTAAAGTTTTATTTATATAACTTGGAAAGTATCAAGCAATTACTTCAGTGATGGATGCCACAAACCCATCCTTAGCTGTCTGCATGCAGTAGCTGTGGGTCCTTTGCCTTGCTGGACCTCCATGGCAGGTTACCAGCCCACCACTGAGACCACTCTTCCTTTGCATGGTCAGGTGAAGAACAACAGTTTTTTCTCTCCTTTACAAGACAATTTGCAATCTCAAACCAGTTCTCCATCTTCTTTAGAGGATACTCTCCTCTCAGACCATGGGATTTATCAGAGAGCCTGACTGGCAGTGCACCAATACCTCCACTGGAAATTTCCACTGTCAAAGGTTCTACCAGGGTTATTAGGGTTTCTCCGTCAGCAAAAAAAATTGATATATCCAAGACATATTAATAAATAAAGGAGTGGTAGCTCCACACCACACTTTCCTCTGACATGCTTCATGCCCATTTAAAGCCATCCTATAATCTGATTGAAACCTTTAAGTACTGTCACACCAAGATCAACCTCTGACAGAAACTGCAAGCCAAACACACAGTGGTCACTGGAGGTGGATGCTTCCAGGCTGTCACAGGCAGGTACCAGCAGTTTCAGAACATGCCTTTTCTGCTGCACCAGCACAGATTCAGCTCATCTCCACTAGTCACCCATCACCTCAAAAGAGATGGCTGATTATTTGCATACAGTATCTGAAGGCTTAGAGTTACTTCTCCGTATTTGTTCACTAACTCGCCAACAGAAGTTCATCCTGCTTTGTTCTACCAAAACTCTCAGATCACAGTCGCAATTCTGACACCCAGTCTTGTCTTTAGCTCAGCTGTACTGCACCATTTAGGATTTTTCCAAGTACTTAGAGAAAGAAAAAAAAAAAAACAAATTATTTTTTAATCTTGTAAACTCTGTATCCACAGCTACAAACTGGTTGTGAAAAATGCAAAACACATCTCACAAGTCCTGCCAATAATTTCAGTATGAAATTAAAATAGTTAAATATCTAACACATATATGCAAAACGCCTTATGCCCCAGCCTTCTTGCCTAATTCCTCCAGTTCTCCAAACCAAGAGTAAATGCAGACACTTACCTCCATCTTTATTTCATGACAAACTTATAGCACGCAGACCTGGAATGCACTCTGCTTCATTTACAGGTAGTACTCCTAATGAAGTCAACATGTCTATTCCCACAACTAATAACAAGTATTACCAAGGCAGTAGCTACTTGGCTGCACAGCACAAGTTAGGTGTAGCAACAATTAACGATACGCCTTTACCAGTTTCATCTCTATCTCACATCTGAATTTTCATGAAAACAGTCTCCCCCTGTATGCTTCCCAGAGTTAAATTTGCCTCTGTCCCACCTCAATATAAACTGTCAAAATATCACCATATGGGAGTTTGCACCTGCATGATACCATAACCCAGAAAGAATTCTCTATGAATAAAAACAACTATGAGGCAATTGCTGTTGTCTCTCCAAATTTACCCCTGCTTTAATTAACCTAAGGAATTATATTGCCTTTAATTTCGTTCTCTCTTAAAGCTACCTTTAGGAAAAGAGCGCATCTCCTGAGGCAGCCACTAACAGCTAGAGTCACGACTTTTTGCTGGGACTACAGACAGTGATTTGCTGAGCTGTGTGGCCAGTTCTCCACATCTCAGACAAGATCTAGACCACAACACTGAGCCATGTCTCTGTTTCTCCCCACTGTGATCTTTGTTCAGATAACACAGCTGTGTCTCTAACACAGTATCAGTAACATATACCTCAGATTCCTTGATGAGAGAGCAGTGTCTCAGCTTCCTGCATAGATTTATTGCATAACTGATTATCACTACTTGAAGAATGCATTCAGCATACCGTAAGCCTCCTCTAGGCAGAAGGAGCCTATAGTGCTTCCCCTGCTGTAAGCTTCTCTCCTGAAAGCTGCCACAGGACAGGAGGACAAAGGCAAAGCAACAAACTGGTCACAAATGTGGGTGGTCCTAATCCTCAGCCTACATAAACCAATTCACTTCTGCTCTCATCAAAGCCACTACATTAATTAAGGGGTAGCCTACAGTTGGTACTAATACAGGAACCAAAGAGTCAGAGAAGGCATCAGCAGTACACCAAGTGTGTGCAGTACCAGGGACCACAGGACACATAAGGCTAAATAGGTTTCTTTTTGCAAAATTAATCTTAGATCAAATCTTAGTCTGGCACAAGGATCATCACCCGGAGCAAAGAATCAGCATCTGGAATTTGATTGAATCAACTGGTAACTAAAACCACATTGTAGATGTAACAACCCTCTGTAGCCATGGCAGCTTAAGCACATGCTTATGTCTACCTCCTACTTATTAGTGTGGCTGATTAAGCCTTTTGATATCAATGTAACACTGTCAAACTCATACAGCAGTAGAAGTGGGGAAGAACAGCTCTTGAACTACCTTATTCATGGACCAACAAGACGAAAACTGATGCAAGATGGAAGTTGTCATGCTCTTCCTTCTGCCTTTACAAGATTCTGATTACATTTTTACAAGAAAAAAATATCTAAAGTGCCATGACACAAAACCACTTAATGTACTGCATAAATAAACCAGAAAGGATTTATATAGGCACCAGCGGTATCACCAGTTACAACACAGCAGAATACCAGAGCACAGGATCAAGCCCAGCTAAGCCAACAGCATCAAATCTTCAGTATTTCCATAGTTTAAAAACCTGGTTCTGTCAAACAGCGGTGTCCTAACATCATAGTTGATGTTCAGAATGAAGCTGTTCTAACTCAAAAGTGGGTTGACTTTTTGTGACATAAATCTTTTGTTAATGTTCATATAAATCAAGTATAGCTGAACAGATTCTTAAAGGATATGACCAAAAATTAATTTGCCACATTAGCTTCAGGTTAACAAATTCTTCTGCTTGGAGACAGTCATACATTACCTAATGCATTTTAAGGTTCTTTGTAGCATGCTGCTCTTCCCAAGTTTTGGAAAGAAGCTTCCTGTGGCTTCCACATTTTTGAACAGAAAATGCTAAACTCTGTGATTCTGCTGGAAATAGGAGCTGCATGTTTAACATAACAGTTTTCTTCAACAGTTTTCCAAGTATCCAAAGGAAGTTAAACATGATTTTAAGATCTTCAAAAGCAAAATGTTTGTTACATATGCTACATCTCCATAGGCCAAATATCCAAATCTTTACAGAATAAATGAGGAGACACACACATTTTTAAATTACAACTGCATAATACACAATACTTTGGCTTTGTCACAGAAACCAATATAGCTAACAGATTCCTCTCTGTCATGCACTGGGATTTCAAATCGTGGAGGGTTTTTTCAATGTT